AGCCAGCCCGGCGGTTGTGCGGGCTGACCCCGCTTCCCCGGCAGCAGCCCCCAGGGTTACCCTGCTTTAGCGAGTTAGGGAACGTCAGGTCGTTAAATCAAAGTGTCAAAAAGCTTTCGTGCCAGGTGACGTTGAATTTCTGGGTTTGAAAGAAGGGGGAGCTTCTGACATCTGCTTACAGGTGCACGTGTGAGTATGGTGCTGCACTGGCTTACGGAAACAACTGCATTTTAGGGGCATCTACTAAACTACTTTTTCCTCTTTTATGCTGCTCAACACAAACTCTGGTTACAGTCTTTTATGCCTGTACGATATTGATAATGACTGGGAGCAGTTCAGCACCCTTTTTGTTGTTTTTCCTTTTCATGGATCTTAAAATCTATCATGATGTGGCAGGTGTTCACAGGTAAAGGACCACTGTTATCTTCAGACTCCGTGCAAACGGGAGCGCTTTCATAGGGTTAAGTGGCATTTCTGCAGTGGTGAACTCAGGGAGGGTAATGCTGCGATCTTGTTCCAGCAAGTGGAAGAACGGTTTCTCATCATTCTGTAATATTACACTATTGAAATTTTTACTTTCCTACCGGTTGTTGTGATTGCCTCCCATAGTGATTTTTATCACAACATTTGATGGGATGTCTTGGATGAATTCATTCAGATTCAGCAGGTTTTAAGGAAAAGATTAAGAAAAAAACTTTTACAGCTTTTGTGGTTAAGTTGCTCCACACAACAAAGCCTCTATGTCTTTCTTGTTGAACTCTGCCTAGTTTATGGTAACATTTTGAATCCATCGTAGCTGGCCTCTTTGCTGGGAAACATGTATATTTAAATCTCATTATCACGGTCATTGTGTAATCCTTTCATCCTCACTCTCTGTAGTCAAGAGTTGTACAATTAACGCTGCCTTGTCAGAAATATTGGAGAGGGAAGAACTAGTGTTCCTCACTGAGTAGGGACATTTAGATAATACATATGCTATGCAGTGTGCTGGGGAGCACTGTGTACAGGCAACTAAGTGGTAATAGAGACTTGGCCATGGTCTGGAAGAGTTTATGGTCTGCAGTCTCTGCCACAGCTGTGAGCATCGGTGCAAGGTTGCTCAGGAGTCTTTGCACTGTTCTCCTTAGCGAATGAGCCCCCTGAAGGGTTTGTTAGGTGTGGTGTAACAGCAGACCCAAACGTGCTTCATGCATTTTTGCAGCATGTGTCTCAACTAATACCTATGCACCAAAGGATAGAAGTTTCCTGGGTAGCTCTGTGGGACCCAGTTAGCAGAACAGGCACTAAGGGAAATGCAGTAACACCAGCATGGCTGAAGCTACCTTCATGCATCAGCAGTGATGGTACATCGTGCTTAAGTGATCTAGGAAACATCACGGAGCTTGTTCTACAAAACTGGATTTGGGTTGCAGAGCTTACTACCTTGGGATCCCCACCACAGAATTTCAGCTACATTCATACACTGCTGCATCTTTGTTAATAAACTGAGCCAGACCCACACTGTCTTTGCTGGAGGCCAGCTTCCATATCTCTGTATTGAATAAAGCCCTGAAAAAATTTGAGAGCTGGCTGTGTGCGTTTTGACAGTAAATGTGTGTATGTGGTAAGCACACAGTGATACCACAAGGGTTTGTAGTGTCTACCTGGTAGACTTCTACATTTTGTGACAACCACATGGCATTACTTCCAGAATATATTATCATCTTCCTGATGATACAGTCCCCGTATCACAAGGATTAAACTGTTTTCAAGTGCTCTTTGTTGTGAGATAAAAAAAAAAAAGTAAGAAATATGAATGATAACCATCAAGTACAAGAGGATTAGAAAAATTTGTGGTTGCTGCTATGTGCTTTTAATGCTTTTAGAGGTATCTATAACCAAAGAATAATAATGTAGGAAACAAAAGAATAGTATCTTTGTCAAGTCAAACTCTAAAGGCTAATTAAATTAGTATTAAGGTTCATCAAATTTTATATCAGTATTTGTGAATGTGTTACTACATGATGTGGTGGTAACCTTTCCAATGGACAGTAGCCTCCTATTGCTATTCAGTACACATCATTTTTACAATATCTATATCAATTTACTATAGAATGGGAAACGAGGCAGAGAGGAAGGCTGTCACTCTGAAGAGACTACTTATTGTAGAAAGCTTAGATACTGACACTGGAGTGTTTTGCGTTTTTATAGCATGTATCTTGGTGCTTACGCACGTTTGAGTGTTCTGCACATCTGGCTTCCAATGTCTCCTGTTGGACACAAGAAGATAAAGAGCACTCAGTTGTTCTTGTGGAAAGTGGTTTAAGTGACACGTTCAGAAAGACCACTAAATAAATCTAGTGATCTAGAGTTACCTAGCTGCTAGCAATGATACCCAGCTTTCTTATCCAAAAGTTATGTCTTCCGGCTTCTGCCTTAAATAAATTCAGGGTCTAGGGGTAAATAATCTCCTTCATGCACAGTTGTGTTCTAGTTGGGACTCTAGAGCTCTTTTGGGCCTTTAAGAAGGCAGGGATCCAGGGGAAAAATATCATTTGATCACATAGTTAAATCCAAAATCCTCATAGTAACAAGGAAGTAGTACAGATAAACTTAGTTCTGACTTTTCCTAATGTTTATACCTTCACAGGTTTTGCTGACTTGATGTTTTTTCGGTATAGCTCTCAAGGACTGTCAATATATTGTGAAGAAATAAAAAGCAAATTAGTTCATCATTAGGGATTTTTAATGATCCCCATATTAATCATGAGCAAGGTCTTGTCCTCCAGGTGTGCAGCACATAGTTCTGATAATTAGAAATGTACTAACGAACTGACTGAAGCTTTTAAAAAACTTGAGACTCCCATTGAAAAAGCCGTCAATCCAAGGTAGATATCCAAGATAAATTTCAGTTTGATTTTTTTTAAGCTTAGCAAAGTTAAAAGTCACCCAAGACAGATCTTCTCATTTTAAGCAATCTTAACAACTACCTTCCCTGGTAATCCTAAGTGCCAGTTCTGAATATTTTAGACGGATCAGGGGATCTGGCAGAAGTGCTGTGCTGGTGGCCAGCCCTCTGAGCTGAGTAATCCTCAGTATACTTGGCAGTGCATCAAGCCGGACACTGACTGCAGAGCAGAAGGAAAAGAAGCTGGTTGAAGCCTTGGAGACAAGAACTTCCGCATGGAGGATAATCCTGGTGTATGTCCAAGCACTCGAAGTATATTATAATGTACATAGCTGCAGAGAGCAAAAGTTGAACGAATGGTGCCTGCTGGTCCTTCTGCTCAGATTTGTATGTCTGTCTTCAGGATAGGAACATTTCAATAATAAATTCCTAAACACCTCATGAACTTTATTTAATTCATTTTCAGGAAACCACTGTGAGCTGCCTTAGTTGTTATTCTGCCCTTCAGGTACTTGCATGAAGGTAGCAAAATCAGCTAACTTTCTAAAAAGATACAGAAACATAAGTCTGCAGCAGTACTAGTGAACAACAATATGGTGAATAAATGCCAGTACGTTTTAGTATATACTCTTTAGGCCAGATCCCTGAAGCATGTGTAAATAGCATGACGTGTAAGTCAGTATCTTAGACCGGATACCGCTTGCGGAAGGACTGAAAGGTACACCCTGTAAATACAGTTTGTTTGTAGAACCATGTGTAACTTTGAGAACTTGATATAGAGGAGTTATTACCATTATAATGTTAATGGTAGCTCTTCAGTAATCCACATGTACTTGCTGTGTGAAAGAATCCCAGTATTTTGGAGTATGGTATATAAACCTTCTGCTTCTGCAGTGTTCTGTTACTGCTGCAAGTATATTAGTAGTCACGTAAACTTAGACTCTCTGGTTAACATTGTTTGGGTTTTGGGTTTTTTTCCAGAACTTTGTGCCATCCTTTGGAAAGGAGACATTACGGACAACGACGGTTACTTCACAGCTTGAGCAAAACATGGATTATGTGGACTTTATTCATTTAAACATTTTAGAAAAGAAAGTTCTTAACAGTTCTGAGGTTTCAGTTCAATATTTATGTTCTAAGCCTTGTATCATCAACTTGGAAGCAGTAGCTTCCTCCGAGTTCAGGACTGGTGTACCAGTGTATAGAAGGAGATGGAAGGATGAGAAGAACCTTTATGTTAGCAGAACTCGACAAGTACATTTGAAATTTCCAAGCATCATGGTTTACAGAGATGATTATATCATCAGAAATTCAATAATAGTTCACAGTGTGATATTATATGCATGGATTAGCCACAAATCAGTTAGCAGCTATAATGTTGAGCAGAATGAAGACTACCAGGATGCAGTTGCCAAGAATTACACTTTTTTAGAAGCAGTTCCACCTTTTGAACGCCCATATAAGGACCACAAAGTTTGTCTTCAATGGGGTGCTGACTATTTGTGGATGCTCCAGGCAAACAGGATACCTCAATGCCCTCATGAAAGTGGTAAGTCACTTTTTTCCCCAAGGAAACCAAATAGCATCTTTGGTGAGCTGTTAAAAAGTTCATACCTGTAGTAAATGTTGTGTAGAATGATTTACTTGACAAACATTGTTGAACATGTAAGGTTCATAACTGTAGGGTTACAGTTGCAAATGACTGAAGCCATCATGTCCTTCAGAGCTGGATTGTTTCATCACAGCCAGCCTGGAGATTTGTAGCAATGTGGCCTTCTATTTTCTAAGTGTGTTCAATCAACTTTATTTAAAACCCACTGATGTCTGTGGACATCATTACTTTATTTTCAGAGAGAGTTGTTCAGTTCCTTTCTGTGTTGTATGAGGGTCAGTCCTGCAGTTCTTGCACACATAATTCTCACACAGGTGGTCTACTTCTCCTTAAGATGATGGCTACACACTCAGAAAGTTATTTAAGT